ATTAATTGCAGGACAAAACTCGAAACTGACCTAAGAAGATCCGCGATAGAACTTCTAACGGCAACCGGTTGACTGTTTTTAGTTAATTTATTGCCTTATAAATTCAGATATTGAAAATCCAATCTCTCCTTCATCAGTTTGCCCCTTATTGAGTATCGGCAAACCGGTTTCCTACTTAAAAATGGTAAAAATTGTGTCGAGTGTTCTGTTAAAGTTAGTGTTCATTTTTTCCCTTTAACAGCTGTAGGAGGGCTATTCATTCTTTTTCTTAGCCAAGTATTCTTTTCGCTCAAAGGAGCAGCAGCTGGGAAGTTATCCCAAGGGCGCCGGTTCTTCACCAATCATCGAAGCTTCACAGAATAGATTTCCGATGAATTTCATTATTTAAACCTTGCGCAGAGCAGAGGAGCTATCAGAGGGTCAATATATCAGTCGTTAAAAACACGTCTCTGACGAAGAGAAATAAAACTGGTAAGCTATTACATAACCATGTCAGGGCACGATATTGCCTCAATTATTCGAAGGAGCCCAACAGTTGAATGTACTGATCAGTAAAATTAAAAAAAAAACTTTATGTCGTGCTTGCCAACCAGGCTCTATACCATGGCAAAATTCAAAGCGTCTATCTGGAATAGTGTCAGACACGCGATCGACAGATTCAGGGTTCAAACTCTGGCCAGGTGGCTATTCTTTCATCTTTCAGAGACAGAAAAAAGTGCAGGAATATTTGAGAAGGAACCAGGAGATTAAACGTTGCACTTGCTACACGTTCGCAGATACTGCCATCATAAGTTAGACGCATAAGTAAGACACTTAGCTGATAACATGCAGATGAAGATCAGTGCCGCACCATAAACTTTATGAAAGGTATTAAAAAGATTTCATCATGTAATCAAAAAGGACACTGACATTTCAACGGCTAGAAAGCTTCCTTCCTTTCTCTTAGCAGGGAGTTAAGCATGTCACAGGAATCGAATTCTGTGACAATTTTAAAATATGAGTAAGAAGTGCAAACTGATTCAATCTCGAATGTGCTTTGACGGTTACCAAACACAGTCGGCAAAAATCGTCAAACGGATTAATAAATCCGCTGAAAAAATGGACGTACAAGTCAAATGGGCCCAAAAGAAGATCATTCAGAAAAAATTATCGTAGGTATTAACGTTGCGCAGTACCAGACGCAATATTTAGTGTCATTATAAACCTATTTGAATTTGGAGAACAGTGGTATTCGTATGCTACGTAAAATTCGACTGAGGTGCGGGGTAAATTTTCCTCCTTTTACTGATTTTTCAGATGAGCACACAGTTCCACCCTTTGTACACAGGTGCAATCAGTCAAGAAATGGGTTGACGGTCGACGTATGCGAACAATCACAAGAGCGCAATACTATTATGAAATGATACCACAGCTTAAAAAACTTGCGCTGGTTCTGTTAGAAGTTTGACGGTCAATTCAATGGACTCTGACTTAACTGGTAGTTTACGTTTCAACAGCATAAGAGTATCTTATGAACTAAACCTAAGACATTACTGCCATGTACACTGACGGTCGCGGCTACGTACCAGAAGCTCCTGAAATTTTGGACGCACAGCACAGTTCTTTGCAAGGCATTTGTCAACAAAGTTGCAGAATTCCTGCGAAAAACCATCTGACGTTGAAAGCTTCGGTGGTGGATCTTGTAGTATTCGTGTGCAAAGCTCGAAATCGGTAGAGCAGCTTTCATAAGGAAATCTGCCGGTAGCTAATTCGACCTAAAAGTAAATACTTTCTTTACAACTTCCTTCTAGAACTCGTCATAAATCAAGGCATCGTCAAATTATAATTTAAAATCGACAACTAGACATCGCGTTACGCAAATAGATTTTCGAAAATTTCGTTCAGTTTGTTCATTACTAGGGATTAAAATTCGATATTGTTGTTTACTTTCCCCGAGTAATCTTACTAAAAATAAGAGGCTACTAGAAGAACATGTCAGTGATACAAAGTTATGCCTCCAGTTTAGTATAAACTGTTAAAGAATGTTATTTAAAGCTACAGAACACCTTGAAAATGCAACAATAACAGGAGACCTGAATGAAAGGCAGAAAAAAAATGTCGAAAAAGAATTCTTATTCACCAATCTCTACCCTACTGTCAATCACCGTGGACTGAATGTGTGTGAATTACAATGAACCTTTTCTATAAACAGAATGTCTCAGGTTTGTAATGTCCACTGTATCCGCAGCTCATCAACACACTTACTATAAGAGAATGGTTACTGCATCGCAAAAAATATTTCTCTCTAAAATAGATCTGCCTCTACCTTGTTTCTTCCATATTTCTGGCTCGCCTATTGGTCGACATCTACCAAGTTTCAGCTTCCACACGAAACGCTCGTGGCGTGGAGCAAATAGCTCATACTCTACCGATTTGTTTTACAGGGAAACCTGCTCCCCTTAATCTCTACGTCTATTACGATTATCTGTGCCAGGAAGAGAACCGAGTCATTCCTTACGTGGTCCTGCCATTTAGCTTTAATTATGCATAGAAACATATGCTACTCTATGCAGTTCTACCGGCGCTCTTGCTCCTTCGTTAGAACAACCTTATCCATACAGTACAGCAAAGCTGACCTGACAATCAAAGCACAGATGAATTTTTGAGAAAAGGAACAGAACGCGCATGCAGGTGGAAATTCAAATCTCGGCTGATAAAATGGAATTCAATCAACAGAAGTACGACAGATGATAAAAAAAGACACGGGATTGAACCAGCTATCATAAATGTTATTTGTGGATTATGTGGATTCCACTAAGGCGTTTAATTCTGTATGGTACATGAAATTTTTGGACATCATGCTAAACATTCGATATTTTAGTCACACATCACTCGAACAGCTGTGGGTGAGCAGCAGTGCCAGTAGCTGGCCATATTTATGACCGATTTTTAGGGAGGTCCATTGTAGTAAACTTTATTTAACACATTAGTCAAGTCGCTATGCGGCCAGCACTGGAACGCATCAACGAATGTCTCAACTCAAGGGAATCGGTCAGTAACTAGCGATATGCAAACGACGTAGCAAATACAACTTCGTTTCCTCAGTTGCAACAACCGGCAGAAAAAATCAACACTGTCAATATCAACACGTGTCAACTTTAACCTGAGGAAGACTAAAGTGATGACAGCGATCAGAAGAATTACATTCTAGCTGCAATTACTCCTGAGGGTTTTGAGTTGCTGGAAATCACATTTATTAGCAACCTTGTGCCATCATGGACGAAAACGATGATTGCAAAACAAAGATAGGCAACTGAAGAGAGATACCGCTGCATGATAAACTGCCAAAAATATGGCTAAGTCGGCAGTGAAATTTTGCCCAGCACAGATCTGCAAAATTTCTGATTATGTCAAAAGACAGCTGGATCATAAAAGTGCTCAATGAAGTGCCAAAATGTTATTTTACAGGAAAACATTAAAGATCTGCTGGGAAGACATTTAACCTACGGATGTGTCTTAAAACAGCATGACAATGCATCTGCTTTTCAGAATCCTACGTAAGTGAAAAATAGAATATTTTGGTAATGTCATAACAAACAGTCGCTCAAGGAATAGGAAAATGATAATACAGGGTTTGGCTACTGAAATGAAAATTAAAACGACGCACAGCAAATGACATCGCTAAATGGACTCGCTAATCCTAAATATCACTCACGCCATGAGAATTGTATAAGATTGGCAGAGGTGACTTGCATTTTCATTACGTAACCTTTATCATCTGAAGAAAATATGGCACTGGCTGGAATGAGTATCTAAAATTTTGCAGTAATTTATTACCATGGAGCCAAGCAAGAACTTGTCGTAAGGTTCGTAAATCGTGAATTCAGCGTTAAATGATTTTTTTGCAAAAAGGACAAGAACAGCGACAGAGTGAAAGAAAGAAGAAAGGCAGCAAACGATTTTCACAACAAAACAGACTATTCACAATTCCTTTAATCCCTTACCAGAAACTGCACAGGTTCTAAAAGCGGCGACAAAAAAATAAAAGGCTACTGCAGATAAACTTGCGCAGCCATATTCAGGGCAACAAAATTATTTCACTTGCATCACGTTTGATACTGTCAATTAAGTGAATAACTGAACGCAGATTTTGATCACGAAAGAGAAATCAGTACCGTGAATGTAACTGCCTACTTAAGACTACATGCTGCTTTTAACAATAGCAGCTTCTGGCTAGCAAGATATCAGGCCGAATCACTTGAACTGATACTCCATTCTGTCCGACTGAAGAACACTGCCCAAAAGCGATAGTCGACCAAAGAGCCGTCAGTAGCGCAGCATAAATATAAGTGTATATTCGCGTCGCGGAGAATATGCAAAAACGTTTTCGAATATGTTACGCGGTGGAAGCTCCATCTATGTAGTGTTCTTAAGTAGAAATGAACAACTGCAGACGGTGGAAGAGCGTTAGACTGTTCGATATGGTGATTATGTAAAACCGAAACATTTCCTGGGTTCTCAAGAAAGCTAAGTCGAATATTAAACTCAGTTTCATCTTAAAAAAGGCTCGCTTACCAACGAAATTCCGAGGCTCCACACATCACTGCGAATGTCGTAACCATGGCCGTCTGGAAGTATTTTTTCCGGCTAAAATGGGGCATCATTCAGCAAGATGACTTTCACACCTTTGTTATACATCATTCAACTAACTATGGCATTTTGAAAAAATTCATATAGAGGTTTACGCTAATGTCAACGGCTTCATACCATTTCATGCGTTCGGTACAGTTACTTTAAAGAGGTACATAAAATTTCAGCGTAAAATCGAAGATCCCGCTGAGGCGTTTTCAACTGCTACGGTATACTCAGCGCCGACGACAGTTAGCGATATTCAGGGCGAAATCTTCTTCCTGCAAGCGTCTTACAAACTTACAACAAGCCAGTCTGATGTCGATCTGCCAAAAATGAGTTTTTTAGCAAAAGAATGGAGGAAAAGCTTTAAGAAAAAGATTTAAAATACTGACAAGGAATAAAAACTAATTAACTCATGCTTCACCACAGAATAAAACAAAAACGCACTAACAACTAAATCTTCAGCTAACAACCTCTACTGCTATCAGTTATTTAGCTTAGCTAACCATTCTGGCGGTGAAGCAAAGACAGGCCATGGAAAAAGCGAAGGAAGCAACTAAATCGAGCAGGCCTACCGATTCTCGGGAAATTCTACCTGAGAGGCCACCGTATTCTGGCTCAACTATATTTTTACCGACCATGTGGTTTTCGACGATGAAGATTATGCTATTTAGTTTGTCTTATACTTCCTGATACTTTCTTCCTATATATGACAACTCATCAGACTTTTATTCTAGCAGGAGTTTTACTCAATTTCTTTCGACTAAGCAATTTTTGTCCCATCGTTCTTCAACCAGACAATCAGTTCAACAGCATTCACCGTTTCGAAGTTAAAATGGAATGCAAATTGGGCAAGAAGCAAACTCCTGCAAGATTCAAGGTGCTTTCGCTATGTAATAATTACAGTTATACTGTTTCGAGATGATGTTTCGAACGATGCTTCTTCAGCGACATTTTAATCTTAAAAAGTTTTTTCTTGGGCATACTCTTCCTGTAGGATTAATGATTGTATTTCTCTTCCTCGCTATGATTCTGAAACGCGACAGCTTTGCTCTTTCTTGCAGCGTTTCTAAGCCGATACTATTCGCTATGTGATGGTATCACATAGTGATGCTTCTGCTTCATGAAGTTTCAGATGTTCTGAAACCTGTTTAACGATGTCTCAGCGTCACGACATTTGATTAGCAATGTTTCTTCTGGTAATCTCATTTAACCGTCGACG